GATATTCAATCTTTGACACATTACCTTAGGGCTGATCCCCACTATATCCGCATGTACCTATGCAAACATGTTGAGGTTTTTTTTTCAAAAACCCCACCGGATTGTCGACCATTTCTTTGCTCAGACTGCTGCCAATCTTTAATATACGAGTTGGGTCTTCCTCATCTTACAACTCTTCTGTTGGCCCTGCTACGGTCTCTTCCCTATGGATGCGAGGATTTATTGTATCTTTGAGAGGTCTAGGGTGCGGCTTGGACTCTACACTGACCATAGTTTTCGAGAGCGACCATTTTAGTGCAGCATTAATGACTCGGTTGTAACATTTATGAGATTCTTTTCTGTAGCTTCTGATCATCGCAACCCCATCTGGTGTCGAGAACCTCATTGCTTAGTAGCACACTGAAGTGACTACACTCAGATCATCCAAGATCGACCTTCTGAGGATGACATTGTATGTGGTCATTCCACCACTAAGAATTATGTCATTACCGTCCTTATTTTGGGTTCAGCCCCCAGAGTCATGGGTAGGTCGATCGTTCCCTTAGGGATTAGGCTGTCCCCAATGAATCCATGAGCGGCGATGGGCACGCCCTTAAATCTCTATCTGTGAACCTCATTTCTCTAAAGGCTCCTAAGAAAATTATGTTCGTTGCACTCTCATTATCGACCATCACCTGTAGTACTCTGACATTGTCGATCCTAGTTGTGATTACGATTACATCATGATTATGGCGAGGCGATTCTTCACATTCTTCCACTGTGAATCTTGCCACCTTGCTCTCTTGCCTAGGCCGCTTCAGCGGTTTTTTTCACAGCTCATTACTCAGGGGACCAAGTCTGTTCTGGCCTCTCCAACATATTGCTCGCAGGAGCTTCTTGAGCTCGCTACAATATCTAGACCCCTGTAGATCATGACCACCAGAACTTCGTTGTTGGCGTTTGTCAGGGCTTGTTGAATCTAGTTATTCTACTCGTTAGTGCCTTTGCGAGTTGGTGTCTCCTTAACAAATTCTTTTAAATGGCCCCTTCTGATCAGATCTTCAATGACGTCCTTTAAAGCCCAACACTTGTTGGTATTGTGTCCTATGGCTCGGTGGTATCTGAAATATTTCTAACTATCTCTTCTGCCCAAAGCCCCTTTATTCTTTCTGGAGCGGGCAATTTCTTAGCCTCATATGAGACTTCATATATATGAGCTATGTTTTGTGTGAAAGGGGTGTATTCTACATATCACGGGAAAGGATGCCTATCCTTGTGGTTATCTGTTCTCTGTCTCTTTTGGGACCTGTTCTGATCCCTGTCATTGCGGTCTTGACCCTTCCGCTTGACTGATGGGTGATCTTGTCACCTATCCGGGGCTCTTCGGGATGAGTTTCTGGCTAAGGCTACTAGCGAGCTTTCTATTTTGGTGCTTTATAGCCATCGGGTAAAACTTTGTCAAGCTCACGTGATCTTCACTTTGGAGCTCTTTTCACAGCTCTGTTTGCGGCCTGATGCCTACAATTAGATTGACTACTCAGGTGCATCTACGACCTTTGCTTGCTCGTTTTGAAACCTTGTTAAATATGAGGTCAATGTTTCGTATCTCTCCTAACGAATGTTGCTCAAGTAGTTGAGCGACATTGCGAATTGTCTCCTCACTTGAAATTGTCATAAATACAGCGAGGAGAATTATTGCCAAGAACTGATGGAGTTCACCTTGAGTCTTTTGTACCACCTCTTAGCATCCCCTACCAATGTGACTCCGAAGCAGTGACACTTTGCTAAGACACAGACTTGGTGCAGCTCTATCAGGTCATTAAAAGTGTCGAGGTGGTCTCTGGGATCTCTTTTCCCATCGAACTTACTTTCTAGCGCCCTAAATCCTTGGGGAAGTGAGGCTTGGTGAACTTTCTCTGTGAAGGGAGAGCTTACTATTTCTTTCGTCGCATTGTTCTAGTGGGCTCTTAGATTGTTGAGCATTTTCTGCACCCTATCCAAGTCTTCGTTGTGATTGTCATGGCTGGCTCTATTTAACCTTACCTTGAGCAGGTGAGTTCTCAAATTTGTTACTTGTGAGCCCGCTCTATTATGCTCATTGATGCGCGAGGTTGAGTAATGATGGCTAGGCTTGTAGGTGCTATCATGCTCATCATGCGTTGCTCGCGACGTTGGTTATAACCAGAACGTCGATTATTGCCAGATTAGCTCAAATGACTCATCTCACAAGCTTGCAAGGACTGAGCATGTCTTGGGTGTGGGTTAAAATCGACACACTGACGTTGGGGATATCGCCAGGCAGGTTGAGCGTCTCGTGGACCACCATTACCTTTGCTTTTCCCCATTTGTTGTTTTCATGGTCGCCTCCCAGGGTTAGTTTGCTCGCAGAACTCATGCTCGTGAGCTGAGTGTACTATGTGATGTCAGGGGTGCTGATCGCCCCTCGGTGCCGATGAACCAGATTGGTCGCGGGTTGAATTCTAACCTGTCGAGGTGATATCATTGAAGCGTGGCTGGTCAAGGTTCTATGCGGTTGGTTGTTGATTTCTCAGCTCAACCACATTCTGTTACACCATCTGTGCAACCATTGTTCTGATCATTTCTACTAGTTGACCGTTCTCGGGGTTTGACATCCCTGTTCCTTGGTTATTTGCGACCTATTAAGTTGGCGACACTGGTGGTCGACGCCCAACGGCATCTTGTTGCACCTTTTGGTGGGTAGTCTCCACATTGTCATGGTTTCCAATGGTATTCTGATATTGTTCGTACCATTTTAGGCCTTGATTGATTAGATCACTGAGGTTGTTTGCTGGAATTTATGAGATTTTGGCAGAGCCCTCCTTTTAGAGCCAAAATGTTGATGAAAAAATACGCCAACTAGAGTGATCCGATCAACGTTGATCAGATCGGAACTAATATGTGCGTGATTACGGGTAAGTAACAGTGAATAAATAATAAAATGCAGTAAAGTAAATGACAAAGAGGTTTTTAAAGTGGTTCGGCAAGTTGAACTCTTGAGCCTATGTCCACTGTTTTTGTATTTGCTATGAGAGCTTACAATGACAGTCCTAGAAATATTTGCTAACCCCCTTCTCATCGTTGAAGGGGGTTTATATACAGAATTTGTATAAAGGAGAGAGCAAAAATAAAAAGATTACAATTAAGTTTGAAATGTAACTCCTATATTCTCGCGATTGGGCACTGTGATTGCGCAAAGATTACTATCGATATGTTCCCTTCCGAGATATCCGAGATCTGGAGTTATCTGTGAGCTGGTTGAACAACTGTAAGGATTAGTCACGACTAGCTTATGCTAGGTTGAGCTATAACTCAACAAGCTTATGTTGGGTCGGACAATCGATAAAGTCGACTTGGTTCTAGATCGAGTTATAACCTCACAATTCTTCGAGCTTAATGGAAAAATCACACACAATAGACATAAACACTTCGTTCCTTCAACTTTTTATATCTTTTGCCCTTTTTTTTTTTAGTTAAAGTTAACTGTAGGAAGGGTAAAATAGACTTTTTATAATAAAATATTATTTTATGTATTAAATATTTCAAAATAATAATAAAGTACTTAGATTTTTTTTTTTAAATATACTTAAGATTTAATATTATTTTTAAAAGAATTTATTTTTATTTAAAAAGAAAAAAGTACAAAACTATCAAAGGCTTGGACCCACAATTCTTAAATCATCCTAATTTTTTTCTTCAAAAATAATTATTGTTGAATTTTCAATTTACAAAAATATATATTTTCATATTTCAGTTCTATATTTTTACTTTACAAAATATTTTAATTTTCACATTGTGCCTTGCTGTCAATTAATTTAACACCAAAATTCGACAATAAGAGATATAAGTAGCCAATTATAGGGGCCAACTGTGAATTTATATGTTGAAGAGAGTGTAACAGAAATAATCCAAATACAGCATTAACAAAAGTTAAAAAGAGTGAAATTTAATGTCCTAGTTTCTCCGTAGACTTTATATATTATAAAAAGCAAAATAATAATAAAAATTGTGATGAAGCCTCTGAAAGGTCATTGTAATTAACGCCAATCTGAAAATCGAATCAGGCCTTGACCCTGTCAAGGTTCCGGTTCACAATTTGACCGGTCAAACAGCTGGTTTAACAGTGATCTAAAAAGTTTAAATTCTTACAAACACACCTCTAAAAATTTTCAGCCCCTATAGGTTTAAAATAACAAATACACCCCTATGATCTGTTTGGGTTTTGACTTTTTAGGCCAAATTATGGTTGATTCCGATGGCCAAAATTCAATTCGATACCATCACTTCAATCACCGTCCTCCACTCTACAAAACCCTTCTAACCCCAGAACTTGGTAGCCCTCGTTCGTTGATCGTGACTCGCCAACACCGCCGCGATTGGGTTGATTTTTCGGGCCAAATTCTGGCCTCCAAAATTAAATCAAACACCACCACCTAAACCTTCGACCTCCATTCTACAAAACCCCTCTAATCTCGATACTTGGTAGCCCCATGTTAGCCAATCGTGACTCTCATATTGGGTTGAATTTTTCAGCCAAATTCTGGCTTATTCTGACATCGAACATTCAATCCAACACTACCCCTTGAACCACCAACCTTCACTCTACAAACGCCCTCTAACTTCGACACTTGTAACCCCTCGTTCGTCGACAATCAAATTTAAGATTTTGGTAAACAGTGAAATTAAAATTTCAAACCGGAAAGAGACTGATGGACAGTTGGACTGACCGACCGGCCGGTTCGATCCGATTTTTAAAACATTGATTAACTTAAAATATTATAGAAAAGCAAAATAATACTAAAAGTTGCAGTGAGCGTGGATTGAACACGCGACCTTTCGATCTTTAATCTCACGATCTCCCCCCGAGCTATCCCGACCGAAGGGTTTTGATTTTACAAAAAAAATAAGCTGATTTTGAGTATACATAAAGCACGTTGATTAGATGATAGTGTAATTTCCAAGGTTCCAAAGCGAAGACTTTTTATCCATATTTTCGTTTTGGATCCGAACAAAATGATCTCTTTCCATACATAAACTCTGACTCTATAGAGTGAGATCCAAACCACCACCAAATCTAACAGAAATGGAGTCATTCGACACATTTAGCAACGACGGCCAACCCCATTCATCCTTGGACTTCCACGACAACGTCGACGACAACATTATTCCCTCTCAATCCTACGACTCTGCATTCACTCCCTCTCCTCCTGCTCCCGCTTCCTCCAACTACGTGTCACCCTTTGATACCACAAATGAGACTGATCCTTTTGAGTCAGCTAACGGTAAACATCCGTTTGAATCCGCCAGTGTGAATGATCCGTTTGAGTCTGCTTATGTGAATGCGAATGACGGTGTTGTTGGTGCTGTTGATCATCGTGATCATGAGAATATTTTCGTTTCTGACGAGCCCATTTTGCCTCCGCCCGAGATGATGGCTGAGGAAGGCTTGGCTCTCCGCGAGTGGCGCCGGTTAGTTTCTTCAGCACTCTGTTTATTCTTATAATGTATGGAGCATGATGCATTTTGATACTCATGGAATGTGAGATAGTGAGCTACTGCATGCAATATTTGATGGCTGTGTCTGCTTATTTGTTTAGAATTAGAAACTTTATTCGGTTTACATGGCTGGTTAGGTGGTAGTCAAGGAAAGAAACAATATTCAATTGGAAAATTGCTTTCATCTGGTGAATTGTTGGTATCTGAGATCTTAGGCTGCCAATTTTGAAAGATGTAAACTCAGAAATTATGTTTCACTTTTCTTTACAGTATAGCCTGGCTAAAAGGCATCGAATATCTGTAGATTGTGAAACCTTTAATTTCAAATGGTGCAGTCAAAATGCCATCCATCTTGAGGAAAAGGAGAAAAAAGAGAAAGAAATGCGGAATCAAATCATTGAAGAAGCTGAAGAATACAAACGAGCTTTCTATGAGAAAAGAAAGCGCAACATGGAAACTAACAAGACTCATAACAGAGAAAGAGAGAAGGTAAAACTTCAAGAATATGTCTAATTTGATCTTGTTTTGGTAATGTTAGGACCCAATTCATCCTTTTGCTGTATCTCTACTTGGATAAATGAATTTCTGTTTTTGTGTAGCTCTACTTGGCGAACCAAGAAAAGTTCCACAAAGAAGCTGACCAACATTACTGGAAAGCAATAGCGGAGCTCATCCCTCATGAGGTTCCTAATATTGAGAAGAAAAGAGGGAGTAAGGATCCTGACAAGAAACCTTCGGTCGTAGTCGTTCAGGGTCCAAAGCCTGGGAAACCAACTGACCTTACTAGGATGAGGCAAATGTTTATGAAGCTAAAACATAAACCACCACCTCATATGATGCCTCCCCCGCCCAAACCTGCCAAAGATGGCAAGGATGGAAAGGATTCAAAGGATGAAAAAGACGCAAAGGACGGCAAAGATGGAAAGGATTCAAAGGATGGAAAAGTTGCTAAGGATGAGAAGGATGCTAAGAACGAGAAAAGTGGTACACCAACTGATCAAGCTGGGAGTGCGCCTGCTTCATTACCCACTAAAGATGTAGCTGCTGCAGGGAACACACCCATATCACCTGCTAAAGAAGTTTCCCCTGACACACTTAATTTGGGGACTCCTGCATCAGTTGAGGGTGAAGAGGCTGCTAGACCTGAGCCAGTAATCGCTCTGTGATGAGGCATCATATTTTATAGTCACTAATTTCTTTACCGTATTTCTGAATTCTCTACCAAACCAATCTGTATGAAAAATAAAAGCAGGTTAGGCTATGATGAGCTTTCTTCCTAACTTGCTTAAAGATGTTGTAGGCGAAATTTTTTTGGTTTTTGGTTCTTCAACTTAATGTTTATGTAGCTAAATTTTGAAGAAGTTTGCATATTCTGCATCATTTGTTTGTACTTATGTTTTCTTGTGATGAGTTGTGAGCATCTTGATTCGGTAGTTGAGCATTGACATTTGACTTTCTAATTTCCGTTCTTTGAATCCTTGATAAGCTCTACCCTTTCCAAGTCTTATGGCCCTAGAGAAGAAAATGAGGACATTTAATTTGGAAAGCTTATTATTCTCTTTCCTATTGGCAATAAGGTATATATCAACCGTGTGTTTCGTGGATGGAGGATGTTTCTTTATTTTAGATTGATTTTGTACAATAAAGAGATTGAAGGATGCTGTTAATTGCCATAACTTTAGAACGAGTGAATTTCTTTTGCCCTATGGAAACTTTCTCTTGCCCCCAATTAAACTGAGAGAAAGCAGCAATGCTCTGTTCCACTTGTGGCGATTAACAGTCATCAATTCAATTCGTATCAAAACAGAGCGCAGTTGGGGTGTAAACCTGCTGACATATTGCTTCTTTTTCCTCCCCAGTCGCTGACCTGGTAGAATATGTTGTATAGGGAACTGATCCAGGCAGCATATCTGGACTCTAGTTTGTTAATAGTACTCTCTGCCTTCGAGGCTTTGACCCCAACAAGTGTAACCTTTTATTTCAAAAAATACAAGGCAGGGTGCAGTGGGGTGGCTTTTTGGCCCAATCAAACTATGCTGAAGAGTGAAAGCTGAATCCGGACCAGAAAATCAGTTGCTACCAAAATTTAACTAATTCCATGACAGATGACCAAGTCTCCGTTGGTTGATGATCAAATTCTCACCAGAATTAATTAGATCTACCAGACGTACTCTAATCAAGATTGATTGAATGCCTGCAGGTACACCATTTTTCCAAATATATTAAATAACGTAATATTGATCAAACTTTACTTTCTCAAACATCACAGTAAAAATTAATCTCAAATATAAAAAGGTAAAATCTCGGTCTGGGGATGGGAGAATAGTCTGTCAGCTTCATGAGAAACTAGTTTGTATTTGTGCTTGATGCAGCCTGCTAAAATTACCAAATTACAAACGGTAACAGATGCAAGAATAAAAAATTGTACAAATGAATTCAATAGGAGGTTAAGATGCAACGGTGGACATTAAAATTAAAGAGAATCTAGAATCAAATGATTGTGTTAATAATAAAATACCCGATGGAAAAACTGTAACAAAATCTTTGAGCTTATTTCTTCACGTGGAAGAACCAACTTTTTTTTCTGTATAAATTTCTATTTTCTTGGTGCTTGATTGTCAAAGTTTCACTGAACAAAAGTTTTTCTATTTATCCAAAAGGGATTGCACATGTCTGGTCCTTCACATGACAAGAAATGTGAAGTTCCAATCAGCGAGGATTCAAAGGGATCCTCCTCCACGTGCGGTGGTCACAGTGTTCTTGTCACCACTCCCCACCCACCGTAGATACTTAGCTTGCGGTACTTCTTGGTGGGGCTTGGAATCACTTCACATGTGAGGAAGATCATGTTATTGTTATCCATATCATACGCATTTAAGATCACTACACATCTTAAGCTCACGGGACTAGAACAAACCCCACATTCATGGAGCTCAAACGACAAAAGTCTTTATAACAAAAAAAAAATCTGTAGGATCCCTAACGGAATTCTATCACCCCCCCTACATATATCTTGGTAAATATGTAACTATCTCTCTGATGGTGGTAGGTTCGTTTTAATTTCCCGCGCCACTTGGGCTTTGTCATGCTAATGTTCGCTAATTCTGGGAATTGCAATGAAATTCTTGAATTAGGTGTGTGCATTACATGATAATATTAAACAATAATCCTTTTTTTTTTATTTCCCTATTTTAACTCATCGAAATGAATCTGTATCAGGTAATAAAAAAATTTCACCCTTACATGAGAGTGAATAACACATCTGGGTTTTTATATTTGCTCTCGGAGATAGTCATAATGAATGTTAATCGTGACATAAGTGGAGGTAACCAGAAATATGATTCCAAAATATTCATCCAGTACTTTATCATATTATATTAACACTGTGCCAACGGAGACCAATTAATTTTGCTTCAATGCAAAAAGACCAATAAGGCTCACAAGCTCAGTCTGTCTGCAAATACAACTCAGCGCATTCAATTTTAATGCTAAACTATAAATTCATTAGAAACAAAACGGGTCCACAATCTTACTTACATAACATATACATTTGCTTATACGCTCTCTCTCCCGTTTGGAGAGGGCTACACACCTAAGTACACACACTTGCACACAATCATGGTCACCAAATGAAGTTAGACAAAAACAGAAATGGGTAAAAATGAAAGAGCCCTTGGAGTGCTGTCCAATGGCTCTTTCTTTTAAAAAAAAAATGTAAAAAAAAAAACCCACAGAGAAAGGCTACTTCTGTGCCACGGGAGACTACTGGTGGTGTCAAATAAAAAGGCTTATTGCAGTATCTTAGTTAAACTTAAAGAGGTAAGTATTAGAAGTTGAAATTGGCGAGATCTGTAAGTTGCTTTCGGAGACAGTTGCTTGGAATAACATCCATTGCAGAGAGAGCTCTTCCTGTTGAAAGTGTAGTTATCTGCCTGAGAATGGTCCCTTTAAGGGTCCCCAATTATACACAATTTGCTCCCCATAGATGATTCATCTGCAACCACTGTTGGAACTTGCCTGCCCATTTTGGAGATAAAATCAGTTTCAATTAATATGCTGTTCAACTTTTTTGGTTAAGAGCGCCATGCAAATGGGTGGTGAGGAAAGAAAAAGCTCGGCGAAAAAGTCTTTATAACCCATTGCACAATGGCGCCATTAAGTTCAGCATAGCATAATAATAAAACTATCATAAAAATATCTTATGTATCATAATCAGGAACGACACGTCCCACAATATTAGGATTTTGTCTGCTTTTAATAAAGATAAAAATGATAATCTTAATCCATACTGTAATTACGTTGTTACTGTTCTATCTATCTTATTTATGAAGGTCCGTTTAGGGAAAGGGAAAGTGCAGCACTTTGAACAAGCACGACTTCAAAGCATGTTATTTCTTCACGCTTTTTTTGACTTGGAGCGTGTCTCAATATTTTCAGCTTTATTTACTAAAGTTAAAAAAAAAAGAGAAACACTGAACTAAATTACTTCTCTTATATGTCATCGATCCCACGTCTCCTTCTCCATCCTCAAATTCCACAGAATGGACAGACAGTAATCATTCGAACCTCGTTCACATGGACCGCTATGTCTTTCCAGGATATTTACACGGCGTCCTGAATTAATGAAGAACGACAAATAAGAATAACGTAAAGATAAACTTTATAGAAGGAAACTTGGCATTAAAAATAGGCGTAAAGTGACAAAAGAGGATGGCAGCCGTTGAATGAACAAGGTTGCGAGACACGTACCTCCTGTAGATGACTGAAGCTCGCCTCGGTTCGGATCTGGGAGCCCTCGCCGTAACGGCCAGCGACCAAAGGCTGCACCGCTGAGTGCCAAAGTGGGTGCGAGACTTGGAGCAGTATCCACCTGGGCACTCGTCCGTTACATATGGTGACGGCCCTTCCCGAGCATACGCTCTTGTCCAGCACCTCACTTTGTAACATGCCCCACACCCCTCTCCGTTCTTGAAAAGTATTGGGCTAACCGCACCCCCCTGGCCCTCAACGGCTTTACGTCCACTAATGACCCATACCCACAGCCCCTCCTGCCCCAAACATAAACTTTCTTACTTAACATAACTCCCTTGCTCCTAAATTTAGAAAAATAGCCAATTGGGCTCTGAAAAACCTCACACTTTTATTTAACCACCGAGTTGACCCAGCTCATTCGAGCAACTCACAGAAGTGACAGCAGAAAAAAAAGGTTCAAGGAAAATCACTAGCTTAAAACAGATATTGACTAAGAACTCTAACAACAGGCATCATAGAGTATAAGGTGACTTACCGTCACTACCGTCGCCTTCGGGCTCGCCGTACCAGTGTAGTAGCGGGTTTCAATGTGGTCCGTGACAGGTGTTTAACGCTGGCGGACACCACTACACACTTGAACACCAACAAAGGAACAACTTCATGACTTGGCTGAGACTGCGGTGTTAACTGCTTGTGTATTAAATTGTCAGGAAAGAAGCGGCGCCCACCACACACACCACCACCACAACTCCGTCACTTTCCGGCAAAAGCGGAGAAACCGAGAAAGCAGAAAATTAAAATGTGATTTAGGTTTGCCGACAGTTTTTTTTCACTGACTAGTGAAGACAAAAGCTATGGTGTGAAGGCTTGTGTCAGGTTCTATAAAAGAAGAAGGTAGGAACAGAGACGAGAGGAAGGCTTTCTCTAGTTCTTTTCGGTGACCATGTGATACATTGTTTTGAATCATTTAGAGTCATGCCATTAGGTCTATGGGCCTCCGACCGGTTAAGGCGTTAAATCCGCATGACCGTACGTTGGCCGTTAGTATTAAAGAATGAAAGGGGTAGGTTTGTAATTTGAAAAAGGACCGTTAGATGTGTTTGGTTCTTGGGTCATGTGAAAAATGGAAAATAGTCGTTAGATGTTGACAAGCAACAGATTATATTGTAGAAGATTAGGAGTTTTTAAATAGAATACATTTACAAAAATGATTTTTAATTACAAAAAGATCAATTATTTACCATAATGAGAAGTTGTCGGTTGTAACCATAGGACACCTTGAATTTACAATAACTTTACTTTATTCTTTTCTATTTTTGGTTTCTGTATAGCAAAGGTAACAAAGTTGGTCTCGGTTATTATTATTATAATGCAAATTTATTCTTCCATGTCTTGTCTTGGAAACTGATTAGTAATATACGGGCCAAAGTGTGAATGTGCTTAGCCCAATATGTGACCTCCTCATTTAATGGAAATGTTCTATATTTAGGAATTATTTTCAAAAACAATTTTAAAATCAACGTCTGGAAGGCAAACCGCACATGGGCTCCTACTAT